TAAAAACTCAGGAAACAAAATATTTCACTGTTGGCCCAGACAGTGGCCCAGATCAGGCATACTTTAGTCTCCAGCCTGATGTCACTGCTCTTCAGTTCTCTGGAGAGGTCCCTGACAGCTGACTTTCTCAGTGTAATTTGTCTCTTGATTTCCTGGCTGCTGGTACCAAGAGTATTGATTGTGGAGCCAATCAAACTAATAACAATCTCAATCTCTTCACAATCCATACTGATGCTGCCAATTGGCCCAGTGGTGAGAATCTTTGTTTTCCTTGATGTTGAGCTTCCATCGATATTGAAGGCTGCAGTCCTTGACCTTCTGCAGCAAGCACTTCAGGTCCTCCTCAGTTTCAGCAAGCAAGATTATGTATCTGCATAACGCGGGTTGTTGTTGAATCTTCCTCCAAACCTGATACCACATTCCTCCTCATACAGTTCAGTGTCCTGGATGATCTGTTTTGCATACAGATTGAAAAGGTATGAAGACAGATTACATCCCTGGCAGACACTCTTCCTGATTTTGAACCATGAAGTTCCTCTATTCTGATGGATTGCCTCTTGGTTCAAGTGTAGGTTTTGGATAAGCACAATCAGGTGTTTGGTATTCCCGTTCTTCTCAGAGTCAGCCACAGTGTGTTGTGATCCACACAGTCAAAAGCCTTTCCATAGTCAGTGAAACACAGGTAGACATTCCTCTGGTACTTTCTGCTTTCAGCCAAGATCCATCTACCATTAACTATAATATCCCTAGTACCCAGCCTGCACATCTGGCAGTTCTCTATTGACGTGTTCCAGTCGGTTTTGGATGATTTTCAGCAGAATCTTGCTTGCATGTGATATTAACAATACTGTTCAATAATTTCCACACTCTGTCAGTCTGTATGTTGAGAAAATTATTGGAGAAGCTTGATTCTATGAAGAAAATGTGGCAGCAGAATCAGAGGAGGATTTTTAAATAACCTTTGTTATGAAGATAACCTTGCTTGCTGAAAATGAGGAGTAGTAAAGTGCTTGCTACAGAAGATCGAAGACTACAGGCTCTAATATGGACTTCATCTCAATGTCAAGAAACAAAAATTTTCACCACTGGATCTATAGACAACATCATGATAGATGGAGAAAAGATTGAGATTGCCAATGACTACATCTTTCTTAGATTTAGATCCACAGTCTGTACATGTGGTACCAGCAATCAGGCATTCAGGAGGTATTTTGCACTAGGAAAGTCCGCAGTCAGCGGTCTCTCCAAATTATTGAGGAGCAGTGATATTAGTTTGAGGGCTAAGGTAAACCTGCTTCAGGTTTTGGTCTTTTCAGTCACTTGCTATAATGATGAGAGCTGGACTGTGAATAAGGATAACAGAAGAATTGATGCCTTTGAACTGTGGAGTTACAAAAGAGAACCTTGGATGGCAAAAAGAACAAACAGATGTATCTTGGAGTAGGAGCAGTCAGAGTGCTCCTTAGAGGCAAAGATTATGAAACTTCACCTCATATACTTTGAGCATGTTGCTAGAGGAGGCTATTCCTTAGAGAGCTAAATCATTCTTGGGAAGATGGGGGGGATGGTGAAAGAGAGGAAGACTCTCAACTGGCTGAACTGATACAGTGACTGCAGCAATGAGCTCACGTGTTTTCAGAGATGGCCCAGGATATGATAAAGTTGAGGGTCTATATGAGTCATACGTGACTAGATAGCACTGAACAAAAATAGCAGTTTTTATGGAAAGAGACTGCCCTTCTTTCTCTTGTGAAGTTCCTGGAGGATTTGATTTGGTGACCTTTTAGTTAGTAGCTCAGTATGTAGCACCAGTACCCACCACACCCCACTACCAAAGTTTCATCTTCAATAGAAAGTTATTAAATCTTTGCCAAATATATAACATAATTTGTTTTCTTGAGTGGGTGGTGAGATATGAAAACCTGGTGAGGCAATGTTCAAGTGCTCAAATGGTAACAAAACATGGGAAGTTTGGAAGAGGGATAAAGCATTCTCTTTTCCTGAAAATTTAGTCTTAGAAGAAACTTGATAAGACAGTTACACTTTCTTAGTAGGTTGCTGTGAGTTGAAACTTGACAGAAAAATTTTACTGGCATATGAGTTAATAAAATATTGGTTGGTCTTAGAAGTAATAAGGTTTGCCAACCTTGTAAATTCAAATTAGAGAAAGTTTTAAGGAATATAATGGTAAATAAGATGTTGTTGTTATGTGCCCTTGAGTCTGTTCTGACTCATTATTGTTGTTATGTGCTATTGTGTCACTTGGAACTCAAAGTGACCCTATATACAACAGCCCTAAACCGTACTCTATCCTGTGCCAACTTTATTGTCTCAGATACACCTACCCCATTACCCTAGTCACTGAGTCGATCCATTTTATCCAGGGTCTTCCTCTCCTGCACTGTCCCTCCACCCCAAACATTATGTCCCTCTCCATGGACTGGTCCCTCCTTGCAACATGTCCAAAGTATGCCAGCTGGAGTTTCAAAATCCTTGTCTCCAAAGAGCATACTGGTTTCACCCTCTCTAGGCTGGACCTGTTCAGTAAGATGTTCTGTAATTCCCAATCTTCTTCAAGTTAGCTACAGTTTGTTGTGATCCAAACAATCAAATACCTTTATATAGTCAATGAAAGACAGACATTCCTCTGGTACTCTACTTTCAGCTAAGATCCATCTAACATTGGCTGTAATGTCGCTAGTGCCAGAACCACTTCTTAACCCAACCTGCACATTGGACAATTCTCTGTTGAAATGCTGTGCCAGTCATTTTTTAATAATTTCCAGAAGAATCTTTCTTGCATGAGATATAAATGAAATCCATTGTTGAGATAGTTATGAACATATCTATGATATGTGATTATATTAGATTAGGAGGTGAAATTGGTTCATATAACAGCTCTATATATTGTACTGCAGGAATTGTAACTGAGGGAAAGTTAGAGAGGAAGGCTTATGAGACTAGAAGTAGGAAAAAGTAAGGAATGGACCCACTTGAAAAGATAGTGCTTCTTTTAGTAGGGTTGGTTATGACTCAAGAAATTAGCTCTTTGTTGATTGATTTTTTTTTTACTGAAATACGTTTTGATAAGTCATAATGTCCAAAGTGACAAATCTGTTACTGGTCATTGGTGATATTTCATCATGAAATATTAAAAATTTGTTTCTACTTAAGACTTTCATGTTATCATTAACTCATTACAATCAAGTTGATTTTAACTCATAGAGACCCTATATAGCATAATTGAACTGCTCTCATAGGCGTTTGACTGCGTGAATCATAACAAACTGTGGCTGACTCTGAGAAGAGTGGGAATCCCAGAACATTTAATCATGCTAACGTGAAACCTATACTTAGACCAAGAGGCAGTTGTCAGAACAGAGCGGGGTAACACTGCATGGTTCAAAATTGGAAAGGGCATACGTTAGGGCTGTGTCCTATCTCCATACCTTTTCAACCTGTATGCAGAGCAGATTACCCGAGAGGCTGGGCTCTATGAGGAGAAGTGCGGTGTCAGGATTGGTGGAAGATCTATTAATCTGCGTTATGCCGATGACACAACCCTGCTTGCCAAAACTGAGGAGGACCTCATGCACTTGCTGCAGAGGGTCAAGGACTGTAGCCTTCAGTATGGACTGAGGCTCAATGTCAAGAAGACAAAGATTCTCACCACTGGACCAATTGGCAACATCAGAATGGATAGCGAAGAGATTGAGTCAGCGGTCTCTCCAAATTATTGAGGAGCAGTGATATTAGTTTGAGGGCTAAGGTAAACCTGCTTCAGGTTTTGGTCTTTTCAGTCACTTGCTATAATGATGAGAGCTGGACTGTGAATAAGGATAACAGAAGAATTGATGCCTTTGAGCTGTGGTGCTGGAGAAGAGTATTGAATGTACCATGGACTGCCAAGAAAACAAACAGATTCATCCTGGAGAGGGTTAAACTGGGCTATTCCTTGGAGGCAAGGATTCTGGGGCTTCGTCTGACATACTTTGGACATATTGTAAGGAGGGACAGGTCCTTGGAGAGGGACATCATGCTTGGGAGGGTGGAGGGACAGCGCAGGAGGAAAAGACCCTCTATGAGGTGGATTGATTCAATGCCAGGTAATTGGGATTGTCAGAGGCAATGCGATTGGCACAGGATAGAGCAGAGTTTAGGGCAATTGTACATAGGGTCCCTATGAGTCGCAAGCAGCTCAACAGCACGTAGCAACAACAACATAGTGATTCCAAGAATGTAACCTATATGGCAGACTACCACATCTTTCTTGGAGCAGCTGGTAGGTTCACACTGCCAACGTTTTGGTTAATAGACAAATTCTTAGTGTATCACCCTGGTTCCTTGGTGTTGACAATAAGAGAATATTTTACTGTGAAACTGAGGAAAGTTAATTTGAAATGAAAGGAAGTTTAGTATTTATTTATCGACTGTGAGTTCCTAGGTTCAACTATAAGTAATGAGTAAACATCATAAAATGTTGTAATAAGTAATAAGAATGTTGATAAGGAGTAAGTGATTCCACAAGATCTTATGCACCAATGAAAAGGACATCTTTTTAAATAGTGACTGGATTATTCCAAAGAAATTTGAGTTTACTTTTTCATAACATTACAGTGAAAGTAACTAGACAAGTTGATAGCTTAGTTTAACTGTAACACTCTATCAGGCTTATAGAATGAATGTTGACAGTATTTCCATCATTGCTTTCAAATCACATCAAGTTGTTAAAAGAATGCGCAAATTATATCTTGTGATAATAAATTAAAATTCTTTGTGGTTTATGGTACACACTATCAGCAAAGGAAAATATAGCCTTATTCATATATATATATAAAATACTTAGTGGGTTGTAGCAGGTACTTTTGACTGGAAATATACCCTTGGATAGTAAAGATGCTTTAAACATTTTGATAGTAGGTACTTATTTTATAAGCAAGTTGCTTTATGTAACCTGAAAATCTTCAGATTCTTAATGAAATGGTCCTTTTTCTTTTCAGAATTCATGCGAATTCCATGTGTGGATGCCGGATTGATATCCCCCCTGGTGCAGCTACTAAATAGCAAGGACCAGGAAGTGCTACTTCAAACAGGCAGAGCTTTGGGAAACATATGCTACGACAGCCGTAAGTATTGCCATATCAATAATACCCTTGGCAGTTTTTATTTAAAAATAAGGATTTTCAGATTAATTTCATTTTTGGTGTTAGCATTGACTTTTCTAGACTGGCCCAGGAATTAATATGGATCAATATGATGGAAATTTAAGCCATATTATTCTTAACTGAAAAGTTACAGCTAACATTTCTTTTTCCTCTTACCTCATGAAGAATCTACTCTTTCAGAGGAAAATATATTCTTTTTGGTGAAATAATATATTATTTTGATGAAATTGTGGCCTTTCAGTTTTGAAAAAACTATTTTTAACTTAAATTTTATTGATATATCAGAAAAAGAATGATTTTTGAAGTCTTTTGAAATTTCTGAGATTGTTTGATTACTTAGAATTTAAAAGAACTTTCATAAATTTTTTTGAAAATCTAGATTTCCCAGAACATTTGTATTGACTCCATCCCAGTTTGCCATTATGTCATTGTCATCCTCACCACCTTCTATAATATATGATTGTAGTAGGCAGAGAAGTGAAGTGTTGTGTATGAGTTTATTACAAGTATGTTGCATTTTTATGTTGCATTTTTTAGTTCTCTTTTCTACTTCTATGTAGACCAAATACAGAAAAATCTTAAGTATATTCAATTTAATTTGCCTTATATGGTGGCATAATCCACTGTGAGTTGTACCAATAACCCAAAGGGGTACCTCAGATAGTTTAATCCACCAGCAGGTCCCCAGGAGAAGTATGGCAGTCTCTTCTGTAATTTACACCTCCAAAAGCCTGCTGGAAAGTCAGAATATATAGAATACAGAATTAACTAAAAAACTGATTTATACCCATCACCCTGGTCAGATAGGAAGTCATAAACATTTTGATGGTTAAAGCTATAGTTACCAGCTGTAACTTGTCTAAAGCAGTAACCTTAACAGTAAAGCTAGCCTCATTTGTTTATCCTTTGTTTACATTTTCTGGGACTTGTTCTGAGTAAATTGGTTGTGTTAATATGAATCTCCATTACAATTTCCAATCCCCCTTATTGCTTGCAGATTTACCTGTCAGCACTTTCATACTAGTTTCTCTTATGCTATGGTATTAACTTATTTCTAAAACGTTTATGTGTTTAAATTCTTTATATTTTCCATGAAGGATTTTAATTGAACAACATAGCTTATAACATTGGCTCTCAAGAATAGACCATTCAATACATATTTGATGCAATTATTTTAACATTATATATTAAAAATATCTCTGCAGTGGTAAAAGAGTGATGGAATGAACATGAAGAGTATTGATTGTTACCACTTTTGTTCTGAGTTAATACTAGTATTTGAAAATACTGAAAGTGTTCTTTATTAATTTTTGCTTGTTTCAACACAGGGACTGTAATGTGTTTTAAGTACTCTGTCTTGGAGTTTCATTTAATTTTGGAAACATAGAAGAAACATGTACAGTGTTATTTTGTCTCATGTTGCTATGATATTTTGGGCACAGACTTTTTTTATTTTCTGTGTACTCTAAAGAGTAATAAATGTCTAATTAATAAAATTAACATTCTTGATACTATTGAAACTTTTTGTTATAGTGTTTATCATGTCTTTTTACGCTATTCTTCAAAGTATAAAGTTGTATCAATAAAATTTTCAGAGTTTCAGTTATAAATATGTAAATGACATCACTCAGTTCAATGGAAATTACAGTTAAATGGAAAATTACGCATACAGGCTATCTTTTACACTTTTAATATTTTTAAAAGGGAAATTAAGTCAGTAGTCTTAGAAATCAGTGAATATCAGATGTAGCTAAGTCTTGTGGTGAAAATGTATTCATTGTGCCATACTGTCTTAAGCATGTAATTTTCATGATTTTTAACCCATTTATTTGAAATCAGATGTTGTGAACATCTTAGTACTTTCTCTCGAATAATCATATATAGAAACACTACCATGCCTGTATTTGAATTGAAAAATGATCTAAAAGTTGTCTGGTGGATTTTTAAATGTACTTTAAAAGCATTTCTCATTGACTTTTGTGACAATTAGGATCTGTAAGAAATCTGAAATAGACATATTTAATGATTTCTATTTTAATTAATATATAAATCACCTTCCTCCAAACAATATAATGCTTTCTTTTTAAGAAGAGAATAGAAAAGTAGACATGGAATAATTTTCCTTTCAAAGAAAATATATTTTAAAGGTCACATGTTGTATTTTTAAAGTCACAAATGTATTAGAGCAATAAAATTTACTTAAAATAAAATTTTATGAATGTCTAAATGAAGACTTTTTTATTGCGAGTTTTTTTCATATTAGGCTTTCCATAGATAGAGAAAGGGATGTATATAGAAAGTATTATGAGGAATTCAGTATTGGAAATAAACAGTTTGAGATATTTGTACATATTTTCTTTCATTTAAATACTTTAAGTATTTGTTAGGATATTTCAGTTAACATAGGATGTTTGAAAAGAGGAGAATTTTAACTGTGGAAGGAAGTATACTTAGCATAAAATCTATGAAAGAAATAGGTCAAATTTTAGTTTCAGCAGCATTAATGGTGCCCATTTTAGGAACTCTTCCTAATGGAATAAAACTGCCTTATATAATCTTAACATCAGGCAACAGAATGATATCATTGTTAAATAGGACAGAGAGAGACTTTGTTGCTTATGGACTTTTTGGGTCTTACTCTCTTTCTTGCATGTAGAGATGAAAGAATTACTGGCAGGGAATGTTTTTCATTTAAAATGTCTGTGCTCCTTTCTCCCAGAGAATTGCTAAGGCACTTCAGTTATGGATTCCTCTTTTGACACATCCAAATAGACTTCTGGTGTAAGCACTATTTTAAAACTTTATATCCTTTAACTTTGTTAAAATAGTTTCTCAGGAGAAATTTGACGTCATTTAGATCAAAATAGGGAGAAATATTTTGTATTTTCTTTGGAAAGAACTTGGTACAGTTGTGTTTGTGCAGGTCTGCCCTTCTTTCAGAGCTTAATTTTGTTTCTACAATTATACATCTTAAGTTGTTAATATATTTAAGTGACCTTATTTTTTTCAATAGTAAGTATCATTTTATATTATTACATATATATGGAATGTTTAAGGGATAAGTTGGTTATTAGAGACTTAATTTTCTCTCTTAGATGTTATTTCTTGAAGTCAGCAAATAATTGATATTCAATCAACTGATTAAAAGATACTAAGTAGAGGTTAAAGAGAAATAATTACATAAATTAGATTTCTGTGACATTTTATACTCCAGAGGAGAAGTGATACTGAATCAAATTAGTATATATTAAAGTTAAAGAAATATGCCTATTTATATAAACAAAATTAATGTATATTATTACATAATTCTATTACTGGGAAGAAAAATACTCATTTAATGAGCTTATATGGTATGCTGCCTTAGGTAATACATTGTTGTTGTTAAGTGCCGTTGGACTCATAGCAACCCTATGAAGGAGAGTCCTCGACGCTTGGGTGCCTTTCATCCTCTCTCCAGGTTCATAGGGTTTCTGGAGTCAGGCTGTTATGGAAGTGGATGCCACTCCTCCTTCCAAGCGTGTTTTAATCGGGGAGCTCCACCCCACTCTGTCCGCATTGGGTAGCCAGCCATTAACGCATTTGACACATCAGTGTCACAGTGCTCAGCCTCACAACAGCCACAACTGACCGCCGTATGGCAACTTGTACACCGGGGCTATAAGACCTAGAGGAATGTCTGAACAAAAACAATGAAAGACAGGCCGTGGATTAAAAGTCACCCACCTTTGGCTTGGTAGCATCACTTTCTGTCCACTGCATTCTATGGTGTAATTATTAAAAGATATTTGCAGCTATTTCTCCTCATCTTTACTGACTTCCAATCTAAGCTCTAATTCTAAAACTGTAGCTACCTGTGTTCTTCTATTTTTCATAGGGTTTTCAGATGCCTGGTATTTCAGAAGTAGATGACCAATCCTGCTTCCTAGTCTGTCTTAATTTGGAACTCTAATCAAACCAGTCCAGCAAGGATAACCTTTCTGACATTTGACACACAGTAGCTTAGCTTCCAGCATCACTGCAATCTACAAGTTACCACAGTACTGCAAACTGACAGACAAGGGCTGTACTAATAGGAACAAATGATAAACAGACAAAGATAGAGGTAATACAAAGAATCACTATATCAAAATCTTGCACACTAATGACTAAATAAAGATCAAAATGGAGCTTTGAATATTAGACTTGTCAAAGACACTATTTGTGAAGTGAAATAAATTTTGTCTACCTTACTCACTTCAAGTATAAGTAGAAAAAATGACCAAATATATTTGTATATTAGAATTATTCTGCCACGCCCAAGACATGCAATCTGAACCCACCAGTTGTTACATGGGAGAAACATGGACATTCTCTTTTGATGTGATTTACTGCTTCTGAAATCCTATTGAGGATCAGCAGCTATGTTCAACTCAAGAGTATATAACAAAACTATATACTAGTGATTCTAACTAGGACGTTTGGCTTAGTGGTAAGGAGTTGCACTGCCAGCCCAAAGGCTCATGGTTCTAATCGACCAGCTGCTCAGTAAAAGAAAGTTGGGCAGTTGGCTCTTGTGCAATTTTCTGCCTCTGAAACCGTGTTGGAGCATCATCTGTGAGTAGGTTCTCACTCAAGGGAACTATAAAAAGGATAAAGAATTTCTAGATCTGATCTTAAAATGTTGAAAAATAATTATACTGTTTTATCCTTTAAATTTGTTGCATAAATATATATTAATACAGTTCAGATATACATGAATAATCAGCATGTATTTGCAGCAGTTGTATTCAACAGGGAATTAGTTATGTTCTGGAATTTAAAATAAATGGTGATTTCATTGTTGCCATTTATTTGATTGTTATTAAAAGATTTTTCAGGAAAATAGATTTACCTTACTCTTTCTAGCATTCAGCTTTATAATAATTATATGTATTTATATATACTGGAGACTAAGGTACATCTGATACAGGCCATGGTCTTTG